TTGGCGACCCACTCCGTGAGCTCAGGGCAAACGCGCGCGCCGGCACGAATGATGTCCACCCCAGAGTACAAGTGCGAGTCCCCAACAGCATCCTCCTTGTGACCTGAGCCTCTCGCGCCATCGCCCCTCCTGCACCTGCAGCGACCTTGACAAATGCCCCGCCGTAGCGCTGCTCGGCAAGTCTACCTGGTCGTAGCAGGCGAACGTCTCGAGCTGGCGGCAGCGTCGCTCGTGCTCCGAAACCCCTGCGCCCTGCGCCTGGAGCTTGGCATCGTGCTTCGAGCGCGCGCGCCGCCCGGTAGGCGAGCCCCCGTTCTGCGCGATGTAGCGGCACGCCCGCGCGAGCGGGGGCCCTTGATCGGCCAGTCCGGCAACTGGTCCTCCGTGAATGACTGCACGGCCCGCTCGCATGGGATGAAAAGATCCCCCAGCAGGTCGTACTGCACTGGCATCACGCGCAGGTCGAAGTAAACAGTGCCTGGCCCTGCTCCAGGCGCAACCGCTCCAAGCGCACCGCCCGCTCCTGGCGCAGCCGGGGCGGCGGGCGCACCGGGCGCAACGGGGCGTCCGCCTACCGCGGGCGGGGCAGGCGCACCTCCAGCCGGCACGCCAAAGCCACCCACCAGGGGGGCTCCGCCTGCTGGCGCAGCAGCGGGCGCGGCCAACCACAGCGAGGGCGCCGGCGGGCGGTGCCAGGCCACCACCACCAAGGGCCGCGACCAGGCCTCCCAGGCCCCCGCGGCTGGTGCGAGCGCGCCAGCGCTGGCGGCAGGCGCGGGCCCGCCAACTGCCCGAGGCGCCGCGGGGCCCGCAACGGCTCCAGCACCCGCGGCAGCCCCAGCACCACCAGCGGCTGGAGCGCCTCCGACGCCAGGACGCCCCGCCATCTTCGGCACCACCTGCCCAGCAGGTGCAACCATACCATGTCGGAGGCAGGCGGCATCTCTGGAGGCGGTCGCAGCGACCACGGCGGGGACCGCCCTAAAGCGGTACAAAAGGTCCGCGCCGATGCCCACCACGGGCGCGCCCGCGCCAGCGCCGGGGCCCATCCTCACATCAATGATGTCTGGGCCGCCGAAATCCTCGTCGTACTCGACGCCGTCAGGCGTGGTGATGGCCACTAGCGGGCTGGCGCTGGGCACCAACAGCGTCACCATGCGTTCGTGCCAAAGCCTTTGGGCGGAGTTGTACCTCACGTACACAAAATCGCCCGGGGGCCAGGCCGCAGGTGACGGCGATCGGGTGCGCCATGGCGCCTACCGATGGGTTTGCGCGACCGCCGCAAGCCGCGCCTGGCGCCGAGCCTCCTCATGCACGGCCTCACGTGCTGCCACGCGCTCCTCAACCAGGCCCGCAGGGAGTGGCGAGGCGATGCTGGCTGCTGCCGTCCGAGCGGTCGACGGCGTGGTGGGCGGCTTCCAGACAACAGGCAACCCGCGCCGCCCCGCGAGGTACCCGGCACCACAGGCCACCAGCGGGTAGCCCAGCAAGAAGACGACCGAACTCCCCTCCTGGTGGAAGCTGCTCGTCGGCGCGTACTCCAGGCTCGGGCACTGGAGATGGGGCGAGCAATCCAGGCACGGCGCGCACTCAAGCACAGGGCAGGTGAGGCGCGGCTCGCAGGCAGGGCACGGCTGCGGGCCGCCTCGCACAATGAGGGCCGTGGGGATGCCGCGCGCGAGCTCAGATCCTGCTCGCGTAAGGAACTGCTGCATCGATGGTGCGTGACCAAAGAGCTTGAGCCGTAAACAGGACGGCAGAGAAAAAGACACTGCAAGCATCACGTCCTGAAGACTACCATCATTCCGGAAATACGAAAAGCGGGTTCTATTCCTGGGGCATTGTGAACCGCAGTCAGCATTCCCGGAACATTATAAACCCAGGTTATATATCTTCGGGGTTGACTTCCCCAGAGCATCATCCAGGGTTTATAATGTTCTGGGGGGACATTTGGAACCCCGGACAATATTCCCAGATAGTTCAAACCCAGGTTCATAATGCTCCGGGCGAGACATTATGAATCCTCGTCAAGAATCCCAAGACATTATGAACCCAGGTTCATACTTTTTGAGGTCCATCCTGGGAGGAGGAAGAGGAGGAGAAGGAGGAGGGGGAGGGCGATAAAGACGAGGAAAAGGGGGCGGAGGAGGGAGAGGGAGAGGAGGAAAGAGAGGGGAGGAAGAGGAGGAGGAGGAGGAGGAGGAGGGGGAGGAGGAGGGAGAGCGAGAGGGAAACGGAGGAAGATGAGGAGGAAAAGGAGGAGGTGGTGGAGGAGGCAAGAGGAGGAGGAGGAGGAGGAGGCAAAGGTTGAGACAGGAGGAGGATCAGGCAGGAGGAGAAGGAGGCAGGGGTAGGTGGGAGAAGGGAGGGGGCAGGAGATCCCCAGGCAAGTTAAACATGTTCTCATGTGGGGTCTTACCGTCGGAATAATCCAAAAGTCCCAGTAGCGGAGAACACCAGCCTGCGAAGACTAGGCTTCGGCGACTTACCAACTTAGCAACCGACCACTGCAAACGGCATGGCAGTATTCTGGGCAACTCATCCATATGGCAGTTGTGACTTCTACTGAGCACGTGTTGACTCCGCAACCTGCCATTGCTCATCTCTCAAACACTTTGAGCTCGATATTCGGAAGCGAATGAGGTCGATCTTGGAACATGCTTCGGGCACAACAGGAAGCGCGGTTCCTTGAGTCGTTCTCCGATGTGGCCACGATTGCTGTCGTTTTTGGCTGCCTCCTGCTGATGCTTCTTCATTGATGTTGCTTCCTACTCCCTGCTGCTGGAGGTCGCTGCCCTGCTGCAGCTGAGGCCCTTCGCGACTCATGGAGTCTCTCTCGTTCATCTTGCGGATTGTCCCGTCTATGGAATCCGCCGACCCTGTCGGCGTGTGTGAGGGGCTTGTCCGTTCGACTCGTCATCTCCGTCATTCGTTAGTCGTCGTCTCTGTCGTCTCCTTTCCCCTGCGCCCCCCCTTTCCCTGGGCCCGTCGCCGCTCCCCTCTCCTTCCCCAGCGCCTCCTCCTCAAGCGCGCCAGCCAAACCGAACTTGAGCAACGTCGTAATTGAGTCGAAGGGAAGCCCCTTCCCTTTGATCCCTCCCCCGCCGGGAGGGGGGGGGGGGTCCCGGGGGGGGGTCCCGGGGGGGTCCCGGGGGGGGGTCCCGGGGGGGGGCGCGCGTCAGATACGACGCCCCTCCCGGGGATCCCGGGGCCCAGAAAAGCCCGTCGCCCTCCCTCTCCTTCCCCAGCGCCTCCTCAGCGCGCCAGCCAAACCGAACTTGAGCAACGTCGTAATTGAGTCGAAGGGAAGCCCTTCCCTTTGATCCCTCCCCCGCCGGGAGGGGGGGGGGGGGTCCCGGGGGGGGGGTCCCGGGGGGGTCCCGGGGGGGGGGGGGGGGGCGCGCGTCAGATACGACGCCCTCCCCGGGGATCCCGGGGCCCAGAAAAGCCCGTCGCCGCTCCCCTCTCCTTCCCCAGCGCCTCCTCCTCAAGCGCGCCAGCCAAACCGAACTTGAGCAACGTCGTAATTGAGTCGAAGGGAAGCCCCTTCCCTTTGATCCCTCCCCCGCCGGGAGGGGGGGGGGGGGTCCCGGGGGGGGGTCCCGGGGGGGTCCCGGGGGGGGGTCCCGGGGAGGGCGCGCGTCAGATACGACGCCCCCTCCCCGGGGATCCCGGGGCCCAGAAAAGCTCCAAGACGGGCCAAGAGTGCCCCAAGAGGCCTCCAAGACGGTCCAAAAGGGCCCCGAATCGCCGAACGACTTGTCCAAGACGCCTTGACGGACTCCAGACGACCCAAGAGCCCTGCAAGACGCTCCAAGAGGCCTACCAGGAGCACTCCCAAGACGGCCCCAAGAAGCTAAATTCATTGATTTCCTATTGTTTTTTGAATGATTTTGGCGTTCTCGACTCTTCCCCTTCCCGACGCTCCAAGATACGCCAAGAGGCCCCCAAGATCGCCCTAAGACGGCCCAAGAAGCCTCCAAGAGGGTCCCAAAACGGCCCAAGAAAGCGCAAAGACGGCCCAAGACGTCTCCAAGACGGTCCTAGAGGCGCCCAAGACGGCTCCAAGAGGGTGCCCAGATGCGGGACCCGACCTGACATGTCGAGCTCTCAGCCCTGAGAGGCTCCCAGGAGGCCCCAAGAGGCTCCAGGAGGCCCCCACGAGGCCCCAAGGAGGCCCCCAGGAAGCTCCAAGAGGCCCCCAAGCGACTCCCAACAGGCCCCCAAACTGCTCCCCAGAGACCCGAAAGAGCGCTCCAAAGAGACCCCACGAAGCATCCCAGGAATCTCACCCACGTCAGCGTCGTCGTCGTCGTCGTCGTCGCCGCCGCCGTCGTCGTGTGACAGCACACCCGACGACGACGATGACGACGACGACGACGACCACAGCGCACTGAGCCAGCCCGCGCCGCCCCGCCGGTGGGCCGAGCCGCGCCCGCCGCCCCCATGAAGGCGGCACGGGCGCCCCTGGCCGCAACCTCACGCCTCGTGAGGCCTCCAGGGTCGGCGGCACCGGCCGTAAGGCCTTCGCAATCCTTGGGCAGACTGCGCAGATTCGAAACTCTCATATACAGTCAGAAAGTTCGCTTCGGGCCCTCTGGGACCGTCTTGGGGCCCTTGATGGACTCTCGGGGGCGTCTTGGGGGCCTTCTTGACCCTGTTGAGCGGTGCCCCTCCCTTTCATCTAACCACGAACCGCTTCGCGCTCTCCGTCATGTGCCCGAATCACACTTTGTCCGGATGCTCGCCCGCCTGCGTTCTTCAATGCAAACGAGGATCGCTTCTCGATTCCCGTCGATCATCCCATCCAGTCTCGTGCATCAATGATCTCTCGCAAAACTACGAGGGGCCCGCGCTCGCGCAGCAAGGATCCTCCGCAAAACACGTCCAAGGCTCTCCGCCCATTCCTTTGATCCATCCTCCTCCCTCTTGAAAAACCACCAAGAAACCAGCCAGCGAGGCGGCAGGGGCGCGTGGCACAGGCCGGCACAGTCCGACTCCTCGCCCCACGAGCGCTGGTCTTTCCCGCGCCGCGGCTCGCGCCACACGCCGGAGACACCTGCAGGGCTGGGCGTGGGAGGAAGCGGCGACGCTGGAGTTCTAGGCGGAGCCAGAGGTAGAGAAGGAAGACGGCGACGATCGGCGAAGACGACGAAGACGACGACTGCTTATGGCGAGGGGAACGCTGGGATGAGGAGGGTATGTCAGATGCGATGTGACCACGCCCAGATGGAAGGAGGAAGTCTCGACCAGATGCCTACCATGACGTACGTCATTTCTTTTCCCGCCCTCTTTTGGCTTCGACATCTCTCCTGCCATGCCCTTGCCTACCGTATCCCCCATTTCCCCCTGCCTTCCCACGAGACATCCTCTTTCGCCTTCCCCACCCTGCAACCTTAAAATCATTAATACGACCGTTGACTTCAAAACGCACCGGGCCCGATTGGTCGGCATCCAGCCCCGATATGTCCTGTCCTTTGTTTAGGACGTATTTGCGCCATCGTCATCCCAAACACGAACTCGTCGAATCCCAATCCAAACGGGACGTGTCAACCCCCGTCATCTTCTCCAATGAGGTGCCGATCGACGATGCAAAACAGCTGATCTGGATAGTGGCTGCCAAAACAATTAGAGAAGGGCCCAGGCCACGAAATTCACTGAATTGCCGGGCGGTGACCTGCATAAAAACGACCCGAAGCGCCCAAGAGGGTCCAAGACCACACCGGGACGGCCCCTGAAGGCCCCAAGACTGCCCACGATACCCTCGAGACATATCGAAAAACCGCCGAAAGACTCCCGGAGGGCCTCGAACAAATAATTGTTGTTTCTGTCATGTTCCCCAAGTGTTTCGTGGGGTGTCGAATTTCTTCCCACCCACGTCGCACCCGCGTCTCAGTCACTCACCCGCCTCCCCTTTTTCCCCTCCTTGCCCTTCCTCGCCTCACCCACACGCAGCACATACACAGTACTTACATGAGACACACACACACACACACGCACGCGCGCGCACCCACACACAAACACACACACACACAAACGCACGCACGCACGCAAGCACGCACGCACGCACGCACACACAATACAACGTTACTACAATGATGGCGTGTTCACCTCATCATAAATCCAAAACGTATGCACCACATACTGGACACCTACATAAGACACACGTCCACATCCAGCATGACACAAACAACATACGCACACACGCGCACACACACACACACGCACACACACACACACACACACACACACGCACGTACGCACGCACACACACAGACACACGCACGCACGCACGCACGCACGCACGCACGCACGCGCACACAATACACACACACGCACGCACGCACGCACGCACGCACGCGCGCAATCACACACACACACACACACACACGCACAAGACACACACACACAAACACACACGTTTTCAGTCAGCGGAGCGGAGGGCCCTCATGCGCGAGCAACAGTTGGAGGTGCGAACTGCGATCGAGCATAATCGAAAGCGCAGTGACACATACACATACATACACAAACGCACACGCTCACACACACACACACACACACACGCGCGCACACACACACACTTGCACACGCACGCACGCGCACACACAGACACACGCACACACACACACACACACACGTACGCACACACACACGTGGTACGCAGACGCAGACCTACTCACCCGCATGATACGCACACCACACAAAACATACGCGCAACATTCGTCGGACGTGGCAGGCGTGGCAATCTCTCGGCACCAGAGGTAGCGCAACGCGGTCGGCCCCTGAGCGCGGCCCCTGTGTGCGCCATGGCGAAGGGCACGGCAAGCGCCGCACGTTCTCCACAGCAGATGGGACGCGCACGGGGCGGCCTTGGCATGTCGAATCTTATCGCCCGAGGACAACATTTGGTCAGGGCACTACTGCCCAGACGCGGGTGTTCGTCGGGGCACCGTTGCCCTGACGAGGTCATCGTGCATCGTGCCGTGTTCGGCGTCGTCGTCGGGAACACCGTCGTCGACACAGCCATCTTCATGATGATTTCATCTACGAATCTGGTTTGCATGAACATCGCCCTGTATTCCTGAAAATCACCACCGCGCCTGCACTGTGGGTATGAAACCCATTGGACGTTCGCTGGGATATCGTGGGGGAATTCTCGGGGGCCTCTTGGAGGCACTTTAAAAATCTTTGGGGGGCAATTGTCGGGCCTGTTGGGGCCTCTTTTGGGCATGCCTCTCGGGGGCATACTGGGACTTGTCAGGGGTCTAGGGAGCCGTTCGGGGCCTCCTTGGCGTCTCTTGTGACCTCCTGGGGGCCGTTTGGGGCGGAAAGCTCGGATGTCGGACCGCCTGTTCGATGGTAGTTTGGGGCGGAAAGCTCGGGGCAAAAGCCTCGCGGCCAGCGCCGCCGACCCTGAATGGCAACGACGACGACGACGACCACCACCACGACGACGACGACGACGACGACGACGACGAGAGCGAGCGCTCCCGGGTACCTCTTGGGGGTAGTTTGGGGGCAGATTGGGAGCCTCGCGGGGACCTCCTGGTGTTTCCCGTGGGTCTTTCGGGGGTTCCTTGGGGCAACCAGGGGGGGCATATTGGGGACCTCTAGGGGCCCCTTTGGGAGCCTGTCAGTCCGAGGACCCGAAAGCGGGAATCTAACGAAGTGAAAGAGAAGGGGGGCAAGATGAGCAAGGGAGTAGATTTGGAGCATGTGTTTGCAACGTGGCCAACGCGGCCAATGCGCGGCTCGCGCCGATCATCTGCAGCGCCAGCCTCGGGACAGTCAAACGCGCGAGCGAACAAAACCAGAGATGGACGGACGGGCGGAGGGGCAAACGGAGGACGGGGGCAGCGAAGAATGAACGTCGAGGGCGTTGAGTCGACGACCCAACGACGATACGACGGGAAGGGCGAGGTGGAGAGGAGGGCCCAGGGGAGGAGATGAGGGGAGGACTGGCGAGGATAAGGAGGAAAGTCAAAGTACGTGGCTATCCAAGCTCGGGGTCCACCCCTGGGTCTGCAACGCCCGCTGCAACTGCAAATTCAAACATATAGAATCAGGCCTGGCCCCGGGCTGCAAGGCACGCCATGGCGCGCCGCCAAGACAAAAAAACACGAACTGCGAAGTGTGAGCAACAAGTAGACATACATATATATATATATATATACTTGTATACATATAAATACACAAATACATAGATATGCATGCACTATGCATATCTAAAACATATACCGTATATGCCGTGGCTGGCGGGGGTATCTGATACCAGGCTGAACCATAAACGATTCCCAGAAAAGTTGCTCTGACTCGTGCTAAAAGGAGGGCGCCATCGATGGCAGCGCGGGCCTGACCCTTGCCGCAAGGTCCTTTGTCATTGTTCTTGGTCCATTGAGAACCTTTGCCCTTGGTTGTTACGCCAGCGTCGCTCTGGCCGTCTCTCAAAGTCGCAGCAGCTGCGGCAAAGCCTAGGCAACCTAATACTCAGTAGCGTTGAACTTCATCGCGGCGCCAGTGTCGCCGTTGCCGCTGCCCCTGGCCCCCGTGCTCTTGCCCTTGCCGAGCGGGCCATTGATCCCCGGCACGCGGCGCGTCAAAATGTCGCCCTTGTTGGGCCCGCTGACCATCTCCAGGAAGTGCACTGTTCGAAGCTCCCACGGCCGCCAGAGAGCCATGCCCGACAAGGGTCTTGGACAGCACCACCGCACATGACTCACTCTCGCAATTCATTGTTGGATGCAAGTCCTTCACCACCTGGGATGGGCCATGCAGGCGCGAACGAGGCTTCCCCCCACAGGTCAAACAACGTCGGAGGTGACGCATAAGGGATGTCCCAGATCACCTCCGAAGACCAGCGCCACGAGAGGCAACTTGGCGGCGCGGTTCGACTTTTCGACCTGGACGCGGCCAGCGAAATCCGACTGCCATCGTTCAGGCTGTGAATGCCCCGCATTCAGCCCTGGGCAGGGATCTGTAGCATGGGAAGAAGGGGAGGGGGGGGGGGGGCGGGGGGGGGAGATCGATTCGCGATTGCATCGGGTCGATCACGACGCCCCCCCCCTTCGCCCCCCCCCCGAGGGCGCGGACTTGCAGCGGGCGCCAGGATGTCGGGCGGGTCAGGGCAACGGGCTCTTTGATACAACTTGTCGATCTTGTCGGGGCCATCCTGATGATGCAATTCTCGGGGCCCCGAGTTGCAGGGCTCTCGAACTGGCGCGCGAGTTCAGGCATGATGTCGCCACTTGTGCGCGCGATCCTCTAGAGCTCCAGCTCCAACTCCACGCGCAGCGTCTTAACGAACTGACTGGAGCGCGACGCCGCGGGGAGATTCAGAAGCTGCTCCTTGGCGACGCCCCGGCCCGTGCCGTTGTCCTTTGTCGCGGGCGCCTCCACGCGGACGCCGCTGCCGATCTGGGAGCGCCCAGCGCCCTGGGCCGAACCCGCGCGCGCGCGAGAGTATCGAAGGCATGGGAAGGGGGGCCGACCTCAATGACGCCCCCTGGAGTCGGCCCCTGGAACGCACCAGAGAGGGAAAGCGACCCCCCGCGGTCGACCCCCCTCCGAAGCACTTGGTCCTCCACGACTGTTCGACTTCAGGCCGCTGCTTCCTTGGCCAGATCGGGGCGGGCGAAGCAGGCGATCTCCTGCAGCGTCGTCACCTTCGGCCCAGGCACCTCGCTGCCCGCCTGGCCCTGGGCACAATCTTGGCCGCCAGAGCCCCGGCGCCCCCCGCGGCTCCCCCCTCGCCATCCGCCGCGCGCAGGAAAGGCATGAATGCGGCCGCGGCCTCGGCAGGAAGCTGTTCCCTCTCCCCCGTGCGCGTCGCGAAGAGCTTGCGCCGCTGCCGCCCCTGTTCGACGTCGAAGCCATCGGAGTCGGCCGAGCAAAGGTCACCTTCGAAGGCGATGGCCAACTGGGCGAAGGTGGCGCAGTTGGCCGCAATGCAGTTCACCACTACATAGGTGGGAGTCGACTGCGGCCACAAATCCCCCGAAGGCCCCCCGCCAGAGACTCCGTCGACGGCGCGCAAGCCATCAGCCGTGCCCCGGCACGGCGGTGGCACAGCATGCTAGTCATAGCTTTGTAACCAACTGCCAAAGTTTTTATTAGTTTGCAAATGCTCGGCAATGCGAGGTCGCCCTTTTTGATTGATAACTGCGCGTTCGCCATTCCCCATGCCTCCGGCCCATCTTCGCCACCCCAAGCATTTTTGGCACAGATCGCGCAGCATCGCGCGCGCGTCGACATCCCGACCCAACGTTTTCAAACATTCTGGCGGCGTGCCGTCTGGCCCCGAAGATGCCCCATGCTTCATTTCCCTGATTGCCGACTGGATCTCCCCGAGGGAAAAGGTCGAAGTATCGACGGGCAATCCTGCGCCCAGCGGCTCTGCGCATGCAGGGCAGACCTCCGCGAACTGCACTATCCGTTGAATGTGCTCGAAATAATCGAGCCCATGCGCCTGGTCTCGCCGCGGCGTCGGAGTCTTTCACGCCGGCGCGTTTTGGGGCAAGTTGCGTCCGATGTTGCCGCGCGGCCCCCCAGCTCCCGCCAGCCAGATTTGAATTGATCCAATTTGCTCGATCTTGCCACCAGCTTGTCGGGCGCGTTCGCTCCGCAATTGCTCCTCCTCTTGGGCGAGCGCCAGCGCGGCCTCAGACATCCACGGTCGACGCGGAGCTTCTGCCACCAACGGTAATTATTCAGCTGCTGCGGCAAATGATTGACCCACGCGTGCCGACGAAGCTTCCAGCGAGGCCGGGGTCGGAGATGGCGCAGCAGCTTCGATGAATTCACGCGCGGACACGTTCTGAACGACAGGGTCTCGGAGCGCATTCAATTTTTTATTCGGCGGTCTGGCCCGCGAATTTCATTGGCGCGAAAGTCCAAGCGCAGCACGCGCGAGCAAGTGGCGCCCTTTCTACGCGGCGGCCCGGGTGGACCAGCGCCCCCCTATAGATGCAAGGACGGGTTGGCGGCGAAACAAACGGTCAATCCGAAAAGAAAACATCCGGAGACATCGATTGAAGAGGCTTCGCCCCCAAATTCCGGCATGTAATTGCATTTTCGCCCTCGCCCTCAAAGAATGTGCGCGACGCCATCTCGCAGCTAGTGCGCGCCTCCATCTGCACGCGGCGATTCGCAACTTGCGCGGGGCCTCGTTTTGCAAGTCCTGCTCGAAAAACGTGTTCTCCAATAGCGTAGTCTTCGCCTGGCCCGCCGCGTAAAAGTTTGGCGTTGAAGCCGCCCATGGCGACGGCGAAGCTGCATTGTGTCTCTGGCTTGATGCGCGCGCCGAGGCTTGCGCAGAACAGCTGTCGCACTTCTGCGTCATGGCCGCTGCGGGGGGCGCGCGCGGATGCGATCGTCAGCGCGTCTCCCGCGAGCTTGAATCTGAGCGCAGCAATTCTCGGGCTGATTGCCGCGAAAGCAACGACAGTTGAGCGCGCCCGAGGTGATATAATACATCCCAATCCCACTCCCGCGCCTGATCTGGAAGCCACTTCGCAGGGTTTGGATCATCGGTGCCAGCGCCACTGGCCCTCACTCCGCATCCGCCTTGGTCCTGGCCACCAGCAGCAGCATCTCCACCGTTGGGATCGGCAGCGATAGGCACACAAACGATCTCAGCAACAGAAGAAGGCGCCGCAGACTCATCGCCACTAACACCCCTCTTCTTCGAGGCCTTTCCAAGGGCGACGGGGCGGCCGATTCCCTCGAAGAACTCTTTCACCTGATCGAGAACAATGGGGTTGTCGGTGATGACTTTGAATACAGCCCTTCTCAGCTCATTCTGGGCAATCTCTTTGGCTCGAATCCTCAGGTGCTCAGCCTTCTGCTTAGCGTCCATATCACGGAACTGGGACTTCGCATTCGGCTTCTTAGACCCCTGCACATCTCCAGATGACGCCATGGCACCTAAACGTTGGCACTGACGCGCGTGGGAAACACACGCGCGCAAGAAACTCGAGCAACAAAAAGTGCTAGGACAACATGAACAAAAGCTACTGTCCATCTTGAATTCCACAATCTCGACACAAAGAATCAGACTGCTCTCTATCTTGAGCTCTACAACCGCTGAGTTCACCCAAGAGGCCATGACCAATATTTCCAAGACGTTGGCGCCTTGCTGGTTAGCTAGGGGAACGCGCAGCCCATGCCCGAGACTCTCCTTCTCCCCCTCCTCTTTCTCCTCCTTTTCGCTCTTCCCTCCTTCTCCTCCTCGTCTCTTTTCTCTTTCTTCCTCTCTTCCTCCTTGCTCCTCTCCTCCTCCTCCTCATTATCTTTATCCTCTTCCTTTACATTCGCAGGCTGCTCGAGCGACGTGGTAACAATAGCACATAAAACTTGAAAACATGTTTTCAAACATCGGCCCCATATCATCCATGTGCTATACCACCCTTTTCCAATTTTCCGACGCTCGGCTCCCGAGCGCCCGCCTCCAGGGGCGGCTCAGCGCCCGCCTGGGCCCGGGGCCGGTGCCCGGGCAGCAGCGGCGCCCGTGGCCCCCGGCGGCCCTGGGCCGTAGACGGCCCGCAATGCCGCGAACCACGCGGGGCCCCTTGCCGGCGCTGGCCCGCCCGCGCTGGCCCCGCCGGCCGGCCCTGCAGCAGCCGCCGCCCCCCCAGCAGCCGCCCCCGCCGCCGCCGCTACCGCCGCCGCTGCCGCCGCCGCTGCCGCCACCTGCCCGCTTCCAGCCCCGCGCGCCTCCGCGGCGCCCGCCGCCGCCGGGGCCCCCGCGTCCGGCGCGCGACCCCCTCGGCGCCGGCCGGCCTGGCAGCTGCAGCCGCAGTCTCCCTGGCAGCCGCCCCCGCCGCCGCCGCTGCCGCCGCCCCCGCGGCGCTTGCCGCCGCCGGCGGCCCCGCGCCCAGCGCGCGAGCGCCGGCCCCGGCCGCCGCCAGCTCCGCGCCCGGCTCGCGTTCGCCCTCCTCCGCGTCCTCCTCCTGCTCGGCGCCCGCCGCGCCGGCCATCCCCAGCTCGCCCAGGCGGCGTTCGCGCGCTGCCGGGATCAGCTCCGCTGCGTCGGCGGCCGGCGCCGTGGGCACGCACGCGGCCACCATGGCAGCCGCCCTGCGCCAGAGCTGGATGCCAACCGGCGTCTTGGCCCGGCGCGCGAACACCTCTGGGGCTGCCACACCCCAGCGGCGCGACGCGGCTGCCGCCATGGAGTGGATGGCGGCGCTCGCATCGCCATGGGGGCGGCCCCAGCAACTCCAAATGAGTGGCCGGTACTCGACCCCCTCGTCCGCGAGATCGGGGGGCACCGCCGCGTACCGCCGTAGCTTCGTCGCGTGCATGGCCGCGCACGCGTCCGAACCGCTGCCCGCCGACTCGGGGCAGGCCACGCCAACATCCAAGGCCGCCAGGCGGGCGAAAGCCGCCGATGTAAGAATACCTGCAGGGCGGAGAGTTGGATGTGACGGGACCAAGCCTTGGGGCTCGACGACCGCCGCGTCATCGGACAAACTGACAAGCAGGAACGTGGCCACGCACCCGCGCCAGGGGCATACGACAAGCGGCAGCAAAAGAGAAGCTAGTGGCAAATGGCCGGGGGCATGATCGTTTCCAACAACTGTGTTGCCTCCCGTTCCTCACCCTCCCTCCCTCCTCACCTACCTCCACTCCCTCCCATCCCCTCCCCTGCTCCTCCTTTTCCTCCTGGCACATATCTCCTCTCCGCGTCTTGGCACGCCTAGGGCGGGGACGGAAAAATGGGCACGATGCCCAACAGCAAATGTCCTCCCAAACTAGCAGCGGCCGCTGTCGGGCAGGCAACATTCGGCCCAAACGGACTAAGTCCGCGGCGGCAGAGAAAGCAAATCCTGCTCTGTGAGCACGAGCTGGTGTCGGTCATCGCCCTCGTTGTTCCTGTCCCTATCTCGAGTCGTTCGTGCTGGCCCTCGCTCTCTCTCTTTCTCTCCCCGCCTCCTCCCCTCTTCGCCTCCCTCCTCGGCCCGTCGCCGCGGGCAGCACGGTTGGCGGGCGGGGCGGACCCGCTGGCGCCGATCCTCCTCCTTCGTCGGCCGCCTGACGCAGGAGGAAGAGGAGGAAGCAGAAAGGGAGAGAGCAGGTGGGTGAGAAGAAAAGACAGGGCGAGCAGGCAAGCCACGTGCGCTCGTGTCATATCTGATGTCCTCCCCCCCACCAACCCTTTACCATTGCATAGAGCCCATCTCTATTCGCACAGTCGGTTATCGGAAAGGCCAACGATCCCCAGAAGGTGCGCGATGCATAGCATGGCACAGCATTGCGTAGGCAAGCATTGCATATCACAGCGTTGCAGCGCAGGGTATCGTATCGTATAGCGGTATCTAACATAGCATGTCATGCGATGCCATTGCATCAAATGACACTGCGGAGCCCAGCATTGCATGTCACAGCATTGCAGAGCAAGGCATGTATTCGCACACTAGCAACATATCTGTATATGTATATAAATGTGCACCGCAACCTTCAATTGCATGCCATGGCTGCATGAAGGGTGTAGCCAGAACACAATCAGGGAAAACGGGAAATTCTGAGATGCGTCACCGTGCCTCAACCGTGGTTATTCAGCCTTGGAGTACGATGGCCATACAGATATGTGAAAAACCTAACCCACCCAGGGCAGAGACGGAGGACGAGGGCGGCATGGATTGCGAGGAGGGAGGAGGAGGAGGAGGAGGAGGAGGTGGATGAGGAAAAGGATGAGAAGGAGGAGAAGGAGAAGGAGGGAGGAAGTTGGAGGGGGAGGATGTGTGCAGAAAGGAGGGGGGAAGGCGAGGGAGAGCGAGGACGGGGAGTCAATGATGCGATGATGACGGTGAGGAGGGGATGCGATGCAATGATGAACGGATACTCGCCACCCCGCTCTGGCGGCTCTAAAGCACAGTCACTGTGCATGCAGGTACGGAGCGCGGCCGAGCTCCGCACCAGCTTCACAGCCTCTTTCCAGTATCTGTCCGCATCCCCCCTTATTAATACATGAGCAGAACCATTGAACAGCATTACATGTTTCGATCGAGGGCCCCAAATGATACCAAGAGGGTTCCCAAGAGAGCCCAAGCAAACCCCCAACGGCTCCCAGACGAGCCCCAAGAGAGCTCCAAGGTGGCCCCAAGAGGCCTCCCAGAGGCTCCAAGAGGTCTCGAAGTTCACGATTGTCGGCGTATGTTTAACTATATGCTTATAGACGTGCCTTGTCCCAACGCTCGCCTGGGCATCGGTTCTGGATGGGCTGGTGCATCAACCCTACCAACTTCAGACTAACTTAGTGAAACTTCATTAGCAGGTGCATTGACTCTAGCATCTAAAATCACGATTTGGATCGCCTGACTGCTTTCACTCATCAACTCTTCTCACTACTCGGCCATGCCTGACTTTTACCTAACAGTCCGCCACCGTTCTGTGGGCACTAAGTGGGGCCTTTCTGGAGGCCCTAGGGGCTGGCCCACGAGGACAAAGGCATTGAAAACCAGAAGGCTGCTTTAGGATGTCCTCCTGCTGGCCTTTTGGGTCCAAGACGACCTAGGAGACCCCCCCGATCACTCCAAGACGGGCGTCAAGAAAACCCCCCAATGCCCGAAGACATCCCAGAGGTCTCTGGTCTACGACCCAGGCACGGTGGCGGCGTGGGCCGAAGACCACTAAATGGCACTAAATCCGCCAGCCCCTGTGCTTGCCACAGGGGTGTACGGCGTGCATGACGTTAGAATGGCTAAGCTACTTCTGAAAGGTTCCCAGGGGAAACCCGCCGGCCACCTGGAAAATTCCTTCTCCATTGGCCTCCCCTCCCCCAGATGGCCCCAAGATGGCCTCCTAGACAGCTAAAATGGCCTCCAGGATATCTCCAAGATGGCCCAAGATGTACCCAAGACGACCTAAGATGGCCTCAACACGGCCCAAGACGACGTGGGGCGGCCCAAGAGTCCCCCGGGAGGCCTCCGAATCGGCCCGAGAGGGTTCCAAGAAGTCCTCCAGAAGGCCCGAACCCACGATCACTCATGTGGTTCTGCCTGGTTCGTGGGAGCCATCAACGACGGCACGATGAGCCTGGGGGAGACCGCGTTGCGGGGCTACGACCTTATGAACGTGACTATCGTCAGCCGCTCGTGCCACCTGTTGTTGGACGCCGAGGAGGACATCCCCGCCCTGCTGAAGAGTGAGGCGGGAGATCGAGTGCTTCGCCTCCCCCCAGAATGGTTGCAGGAGGTGATACACTTGCTCGACGTCATTTCACAAGGACGGCCGCTAGCTGACACGCAGTTCCAACGTGTTCGACCTGGAATATTCGAGACCTTGAATGCTAATGTCCACAACCTGCGAACGGGCCACGTAGCGATAGCCTGGCGAATAGCAATGACCTTCACGCCGTGTTGGACCAACCCCGCCTGGGGCATCGTGTGCTACGACTTCGGGCCGCTGAGGGACGAGATCGCGTCCAGGCTCCTGACATCCATCCAGGACAGCCCCCCCCGCAACTCGGCCTCAATTTGGATGGCGCAGACGTCGAGGACGCACCCCGGCATGCCAGCGGCCAAGTGGCCACAAGGAGTCCGGTGGCTTCTGCGCACGGATCGCTGGATCGCCACCAAGCTAAAGGAGCGCTGGGCGCGGTCGGGCTCGTGGGGGGGTCTGTCGCGTCGCCGCCTCCAGAGTCCCTGCCGTCATCAGCGACTGCACCGACGACGTCGTTAGCAACCCCAGCCTGCTCGCCTTGACCGCCTGCGAGTATGGGATGATCGCGCGTGTGCGTCTTCGTGCAATGCTGGAGGGAATTGGCCACGTCACACACGACCGAGCCTGCACAGGCCATTCAAGAGGCCGAGCTAAACTGATCTAAACCTTGAGACAAGGGAGCGTTCCCGAACGTGACGGACTCCATGTTCGTTGATCATCCGTTGGTTGTGAACTAAAATATGAATCGTTTGGCGATTCGGCATCGCTTTTTCTAGGGCCGGGTCCAGTATCATGCTATAGAAGTCGAGTGATGTGAGTATGGATATGTATGCATATGTGTGTATGTGCATGTGCATGTGTATGTGCATGTGTGTGGTTACGCGCATGTACATGTGCATGTGTATGTGTGTGCGTGTGCGTATGCGTATGGTTATGTATGTGAATATGTGCATGCGTATGTGTATGCGTATGTGTGTACGCGTATAGGTATGCGCATGCGTATGCGCATGTGTGTATGCATGTATGTATGTAGGTAGGTAGGTAGGTAGGTAGGTGGGTGGGTCGGTAGGTGGGTAGGTGGGTAGGTGTGTGGATGTATGTCTGTCTGGATGTCTGTCTGCACGTATGTATGTATGGATGTGAGTGTGTGTTGTGTGTATGCATGCATGTATGCATGTACGTATGTGCATAGCTGTAGGTATGTGTAGACATGCATGATTGTATGTGAGTGTGTAAACATATATATATATATGTATATGTATGTGTGTATGTATGCATGTCTGTATGTAGATGTGCGTGTCTGTGCGTATATACGTAATCGGATATGAATGCATGGATGCGTGCATGCATGCAGGTACGTGTGTACGTACATATAAATGTGTGCGTATACATAGATGGATGTGTCGATGTATGGTTGTGTGTATGTGCATGCATGAATGTATGTGGGTATGTGTGTATGGTTGTATGCATGTATGAATGCATATATGGGTGTGTATGTATGACTGTACAATATGTTGACATATGTTTGGTGTATGTGCGCATGTATGCATGTATGTATGTATGTATGGTTGTATGGATGTATGTATGTATGTGTGTGCGCAGGTGTGCATGAACGCATGCATGTGTGCATGTATGCATATGCGTATGATTGTACACGCATACGTACCTACAAATAAACATACCCACATACATAACTACATGCACACGTGCATAGAATGCATGCAGGCAGGCGTACAGACACATTGACATACAGGCATACAGACACACAAACAAGAGGAAAGAGAGGTGGGAGGGCGGAGGATCATGTAGAGATGGTACAACATGGAGGGCAGGGAATACAGGGGTAACGAGGGCGAGGATGACGAAGAAGAGGTTGAAGAGGGCGAGGACGGCGAGGGGGACCGAGTTGAGGAGAAGGAGGCTGCGGAGCAGGAAGCGTAGGAGAAGGTAGGGAAGGCCACTCCTCCCTCCTCGTGTTCCTTTCTAACACGCCTCGAAATGTGTGTTCCTTGTCCTTCGTCAAATTACCACGTGTACACCCCTGACTGCTCACGCGCCCGTCCGGATGTTTGGCTCTGATTGCTTGCTCGCTCATCCCCCTCCCACTCTTCAACCAACCACCAAAGGGCAGGCAGAAGAAAGGGGGGAACTCACGCGCGGTCAGGATCTGGTGCTTTGCCGTGGAAGCACAAAATCGAGAGGAGCAGGAGAGGGATCACTTTGGATTGCGCCCCCCTGGATGGTCCCGAGAAAGAGATAGTGCCCTCCAAGGTGTAACATTTGACTGCTGCTATGTATGGCAATCCTCTTCATACACCGCGCTCCTCACTGACCTTGTCAACGCTCCCCTCCCGCGATGCCTTCTCGACACTGGCTCGCTCCTTCGCCTCCGCGGCCTCGCAGCACCGTGGTGACGACGGGGCAGAGATGGAAGGATGGTGCATGCGTGGCTGCTCGCCTTGCTCTTTGCCTCCTCCCCACTCTTCTGTCCCTGCACCCGATAGGACAGGCCACAATGCCACATGGCACGGTGAGGGCGGGCTATAATGCTTGCACGGCTTGGCTGGGCTCCTGCAAATGTCTCAAGACCATCCCCCCCCTCCTCATCGCGCTTTCAGCCGTGCACCCCCGCCTGGCGGCCTTCCAATAATGTTGAAAGTCCCAGGACTGGCCTAGACGACCACAAGACAGCCAATATTAGCCCAAGAGGACCGGAAAGCGTCTCCAGGACGGTCCAAGACCCCCAACCGCCGCCAGACGGCCCAAGAGAACCACAGAGAACACAAACAACCCCCCAAGAAAGCCCCACGAGATGTTCCAGAGCCCTCAAGCCGACTCTCACGGCGGCCCGGAGACCCTACCAGACGGCCCGACGGCCCGAGTAACTCTCCGAACGGCTTCAAACCTGCGCCCCTGGCTGCCGTCAGCATTGGTTCCCGATGGGTGTCGATAGCGGCCCATGCCCATGCTGAGACTCGAGTGCTACTTGTGTGTTGGAAAGGCGGGCGGGAGTGAGTGAGACAACCGCTCTTCAGGGGGGGTAGCTTAACCCTTCCCCCAACACCCTCCCCCCTGGGTCTGGGCGGGGCGCCCTGCGAGGCGTTAGAGCGTCCAGGGAGCCTCAGCGAAGGGTAAAAACTGTGAGTTGTCAAAGGTGCTGGACTCAGGTGCGCCTCCCGGGAGGGAGGCAGGGACCCCCCTGTTGGTTTTAGCGATGGCCTCGAAAATGGCCCCATGACGGCCCGAAAAGCTCCCGAGAGAACAACAAGAGGGTCACAAGAGGCTCCAAGGAGGCTCCCAAGCGGCCCCCGAGAGGCCCCAAGAGGCAAGTAAGAGGCCCCCAGGAGGGCCAACGATGCCCCCAAGAGGCACTCAAGACGTCTCCAGAGGCCACCTAAAGGTCCCCAGGACGCCACAAGACGCCTCCAAAAGCCCCCCGAAGGACATCCCACAGGACTCCGAGAGGCACCCAAGAGGCCTGGTCCCCTCAGAGGCTCCCCGAGCTCTCCAATTGATGCCACGCTCCCCCAATAAGGGCAACGCCTCTGGGCAACGTTCCTGGCTGGGCTGGTGGGGATACGCGAGGCGTATACAAATATTGAACGCAAAGATCCCGGTCGCAGACACCGGATTCTCATCGGAAGTGTGGATTTCGATTCAAGCCATCTCTTATGTAACAACTTCTGCAAACAATCCATCTGGCCGAGGGTTCCCCTGCATATTGCGATTGGGGAGAGGAAGACTCGGTTGCTCAAAGAAGAGGCACTTGGACATCCGTTTCGCCTCAAGTGCTCTGGTAAAGACACTGGTACACGAGCAGAGCAGAGATCTTGTATTCCAGGCAGCTCAGAACAAAGCAGGGCTGGAGACTGCAGATCATACAGAGTCTGCGTATCTGACACTACAACCTCAAGAACCGTACTGTAGGTGGGGACTCCCGCTCTGCGCCCGGCGCAGGCCCAAGAAATCCGCGCGGACCTTTGACGGCTCATGCTCAGACGGTCTGGACTGAAGCGAGAGAAGCCAGGGGGGGGCCTCCGCAGAGCCCTTGGCCACCCAGCGCGAGCCGCTGGAAGGGCCTTTCCGCGCGGGAGGCATGCGGTTCCTGGCCAACGGCGCGGGCGGCCCACAGCGACCCCAGAAGGGACTGACAGAATCCGTTGCCCCCTTGCGCAACTCTCTGTTGCGGTGGCACCGACTGGTTGTCCGAGCGCGGCTCTAGGGGTGGCGTTCTGCCCCCAATGTTTCAGACCACGTGGAAGCCGCGAGCAATTAGGCCCGTCACCTACGCCTCTTGCAAAGGGGCCTCGGGCGGTCTCTGCGTCCGCGAAACTCGGTAAGATAATGGGGACCGGGGGATAGGAGAAGCGGAAGGAAGAGACAGAAAAAGGAGCAAGCACACCAAACTAGGAGATAGCTTCATGATACGCAACGCATCACTCGGCGACAGCAACATAATCATACGAACTGCGACGTAGACATGTCGAGACGCACCCGCTTGCTCACCGACAGAAACTTACACTCAGACGTCCTTCTTCGTCACTCTGATCTGCCATTGGTCGGTATGCGGGGGTTTTGCCTGCTGGGCGGCCGTGGGCGCCTTGCAGGCGTTCCGTGCGCTGTCTGGGTCTGCCGAAGTTGTGCGCTGGCTGGGCCTGCCGAGGTTTCACCTGGTGGTCGCCCGTCAGCGCCTCGTGGGCACACCGTGCCGTTTCGTTTGCTGGGCGGCCGCGAGCGCCTCGTCGGCGCCCCGTGCGCTGCTTGCACTACATAGCTCGCAGCGCGCTGCTGACACCACTTTTACGATGCGTCAGATCGGCTCAGCTCTGGGAAACGCTCAAACATGATTTGATGTTCCATTTGATGCTCGCGGGTGATGATCGCGCGGGTTCGGTCGCAATTTGACGATGTTCCGAAAATGCTCGCGCGGTTTCAATTGTATTTTGGTGGTGCTCCAACAATGTTCGCGCAGTTTTCGCGTTCGTTCGATTACGGGCGCGTCTCGAACATCCCCCCATCGCCGACGCCGGCGTCGACGCCGCCGCGGCCGCCGTCGCCCACGCTGCCGCCGACGCCGACGCCGACGCCGCCGCCGCCGACGACGACGACGACGCCGACCTCGGGTTTCGGGTTTCGGCGCCGACGGCACCGCCGTTGCCGCCGACGACGACGACTTCGACGCCGACGCCGCCGTCGACGACGACAACCTATGGACCTATGGGCAATGCGCTAGGCGCTAGGCACTAGGCCCCTAGGCCCTAGGCAATCGGCTATCGGCCCAGCCTTAACACTTAACACCTTAATGCGATTCCTATAGCCTATAGCCTATAGCCTATAGCCTGTAGTACTCGGAATATAATACCATAGACTCATATTAGGGGCTAAGGCTGGATCTAGCTCTATAGGGTTTCGGTTCAAGCTGTACCCAGCTCTATGGTTAGTCTATCGGACTTGTAGCGAAACTAGAACTAGCTCTAAACTCTAGTCTCCAATATCTAGTCATTTAGTCTCCAAGTTCTAGATATCTCGATAGCTACATTCGGTTATTCGGTGATTGGAGATGAGAGCCCAAGAATCCCACAGACTATAGAGCTGGAAGCTGGAGAGCTGGACCCAGCGATGTAACGTGCTAGGAGCTAGGAAGCCTGCACAGGTGCATCCGAATGACTAATGGCTAATGCCTGAAAGATTTCTCGGCGCGCGCGTCGCCTGTGGGGGGGGGAGCGCACATATGAGTATAAGTATGTTGGGGTGACGCCGAACCGTGGCCAGCTTGTCCGCGAACGCCTGGACGCAAAACAACCCGGAAAGTGCGCTGCAATCGCCGAAAGCGAAGCCCTCGATACGACCGCGAAGAGCAGCGGGGACAATGGACAACCCTGGAAAAAGCCCCGTGTCAGATAGAGGCCGCCGTGCTTCGAGCCTCCCACGACCATATTGCACTCGCTGGCCTGGTACAAGACGCGATGAAATCGGAGCAGTCACGGCGGCTGGCCGAGCGCCCTGACGAACTGGTGCAAAAACTCGTGCTCCACCGAGGGGAAGGCCGCAGCGAAATCTCAGAACACGGAAGCTGCATCCCCATCTGCCGACAGCATGCCCATAGCCATCGCCTCGTCTGTCCCGGCATGTGCCAGCATTGACACGCCTGAACCCACTGCGCGACGTGGAGACCCGAGGACCCATCCAAGGTTCGACCATGATCCGCACCGAGCTAGTTCAAAGGCTGCCTACTAGGTGATTGTTGGGGGCCTCTCGGGTCTCTTGGGCCCTCTTGAAAGCTTCTGGGGAACTCTTGGGGGCCTGTTGGCAGTCTCGGACGCCCTCTCGGGGACATCCTGAGGGCCTCTCGGGCCGTCTTGGGAGGCCTTTGGCTGTCTCGGGGCCCTCTTGGGCAATTGTGATGCCTCTTGTGGGTTCCTTGGGAGCTTCTTTGGGCTCGTGGGAGAGGTTCCTTGGGAGCTTCTTTGGGCTCGTGGGGGACCTCTTGAAAATATGTTGAAGATCGTGCGAATCATTTTGGAAGAAAAAATGGCGTCAGGCCATCGTGGGGGCCTATCGAACCGTGCTTGGGTCCTCTTTGGCCGTCTTCGGGCCCGGGCCACTAAGGGGCCTCGTGGGCCGTCTTGGAGCGATTTGAGGGGCCTGATGGCTCGTCATCAATGGTCGGAAACCTGACAAGGTGAGAACGCTAGAGCTGGTGCAAAACTACATTAACATCCGCCGACCATTTTGTGTAAATGATGCTTGCCTCTTGGGGTCCTCAGGGTGTGGTCTTGGAACCCTCTAGGAGCGTTTTGGGGGCCTCATGGGCCGTCTTGAGGTCGTCGTGAGGCGTCTTGGGGCGATCCAGTCCCGAGGTCGCGGAGCCTGGCAACCATTATCTTGGAACGTTCCTTCGGCACTCTGCCGATGCCCGACAACCGCGCCCAGGAAGGAAACCATCTCTGATCCGGGTTTGGTCAGGCGTACCCAGGATACTTGTCGCCCAGGGACACACAGGGGCCGCCCGAACTAGTAATACATACGAAGACTTTGAACCTCTGGCCAAAGATCTAACACGCCTATAATCCGTTGGCCCAGCGAATTGATTAATACCCTCTCCCCCACTCGACCGGCGACGCACCAGGAACAATGCTGACACACACACACACACACACCATCCGTTTCAAAAAGCAATGCAACATACACTATGCGGCAGAATCCTGGTAAGGTTCAAGCGCGATGTGATCACGCTGTGTTGTTGTGACAGGGACGGCGGGGAGGCATCATAAAGCCGCGCGTGTGCCAGCCGATCATGCCTGTCGCAAACAAGTGCAAAGCGCATGCTGCGACAACATCTTGAGCAACGCGCGGGCGCTCCACGACCATTATACACTGCTACAGCTTGGATGGGGGATGCAGAGAAATTGAGGGCGCGCGCACAATATGCTATCCACCTCGCCGCCACGTTGCGTAGGTTCTTGGTAGCCATGTTCACCGCTTCGTGCTGTCATGTGTACTGTGTACTGGCGCACTTGACACAGCCTGCGCGCACGGCGGACGTGGCGTACCTAACGCTGGTAGAGCTGAGACACGGGTGCTACGCCGTCCTTCGAAGGGTAGCTTGACCCCACCCCATACACCCTTCCCTGGGTCTGGACGGGGGGGCCGCGAGGCGCTAGAGCGTCCAAGGTAAACCAAGACGGCTCCAACAGGGCCGATGATAGTCCAAAACCGCACAAGGTCGCCTCAACACGGCTCAACATAGCCGAACATATTTCAATGTGGCTTGGACCATGCTTCCAAGAATCCAGAAGACCACCTCACGAAGCAGTTCAAGAACATAAGGCGAGTCAGCGATAGCTGCCACATCGCCTTTTCGCTCCTGATGGGCGTCTCAGGCCTCGAAATGGCACCCATGTCGCCCAAGAGAACACCAAGAGGGTACAACGAAGGCTCCAAGAAGGTTCAAAGAGCGCCCCAAGAGTATTACAAGAGACAGTGCGTCGTGTTTCAGAGGAGCGGTGCTAGGTGGCGCCGCCTCTTGTGTGACCTAGGCAAGCAATGGGAAACCTTAAGACTAGAAAGACGTTGGCATGCTCGGGGGCAACCTTGGGAGGCGCTTAGACACAACATTGGCTCCATGAGGGTTCCAAATCGCCCGAAATTGCATCCAGGGCAGCGCAAAATGGTCCAAGCTGGCTCAATGTGACCCCCAACATGCATCCAAGAGACCCCGAAACTGTCACGGCTCGAAGACGATTTTAAAAGGCCACGGAGCCCCCCCACCCCAAATAGAAGTACCTGTTCGTTTCTAATGGGCCCCCGAGGCCTCAAGACGGTGCCAGCATCACCCCACAGAGCCCCAAGAGGGATATAGAAGATGCCCAGGACGGCTCCAAGAGCGCCCAAGAACGCCTCAGGATGGCCCCAAGCGGCGAGTCTTCGTATCAGTCACCTTCGCTTGCTTATTATACGAGAGCCCCGAGAGCTAGATTCAAGCAAACGAAAACAAAAACACCATCATGCATCTTCATCGTCGTCGTCGTCGGCATCGCTTCGTTCCTCCCCAAACCTCATCTTCCCCCTCCCTCCTCAAATTCCTCCTTCTACGCATTCCCCTCCGCCTCCCGCCGCCAGCCCCTCCGCGAGGCCAGCGGGAGCTGCGGGCCCCCAACGCGCCGCGCGCGCGCAACCGCGGGGGGATGACGGCTCGTGCGCGGCCGAGGAGAGCAGCACGAGAGGAAGGTGCGAACGAAGAACGAGAGCTCAGAAATGCTCAGGGGCTCCTTCCATCATTTCCAGATCTGCTCGAAGCCATGGCTGTGCAATGACACGCTGCTCCACTCTTGCTCATCATCGTCTCCACCAATTCCTATTGCGATTGCCATCACTATCCACGTCACCTCCCACCACCGCCGCCATCGTCACCGTCGTCATTGTTGCCACTCTCGATTACCATCATAGCCCACGCTCATCGCGCAGCGCGTACATGTCATCGTCTCAGCGCTAGTGCGATTGTGCTGTGGGCCCCCGGGAGAAGTCGTTTCGTTATCCTCTTCCTCGTCATATTCCTGCTCCTCCTTCTCCTCCTCTTCTTCTTCTTCCTCCTCCTC